AATACACAAGGTAATTTAAATTCTAATAGTGAATTAATTTGATCGCCAATTGAAAGTTCATTGAATTTGCTACAATTTATGTATGGATTGATTGGGCTGTAATACAGATGCTTTAACTCAGGTTTAATAAGCAAGGCTTTATCAATACATATGGTAAAAGCAGTGTCCATCAATTGAATGTCGGACTGTTTATATATGACATTAGTTGTGGTTTTGTATGAAAAATATATTAAACTTATTTCATACGTTTGATACACACATCCCATTAAACATATCACGAATGAAAAAATTTTATACACCAAGTTCTTTGAAATAATCATGGTTATATTGTTGTTAGTAAAGTATTGTTTTAAAATTAATAATTATATAAACTTAAACATTTAGTTAATCTCCGTTAAGGTCTACACAAAAATATAAGTGATATAGTATTAATTTAATAGAGATATATAAATATACTAAAATATTATTGTCGTACCTAAAATGACATTTAATGTATGCAATCTTTGTAATCTAAATATAGTTTTAATTATTTTATATGTTAATCAATAAAATAAATATAAGGTTACGCCCTTTCTAGAAAATAAATTAAAATCAATACACCACTAATTAAAATATTGATTTAATTATATATAATGGAACATTTTAATTTATATACTTTGCATTTAATTACATTATGTTCTAAAACTAGAAATTAAGTTGACATTATAAATACAACGTAATATTTATTTAAAATCATAAACACGAATTTATTGTATTTAAGCTAAGCACACTTATCGGCTATTTGGGTAATCGTTACAGTCGCCCTCGTATGATCGCGATTAGCGAAATGATCTTGGTGTTATCAAGCGTAATCAGCGCGTCACCATACTTTATTTACGGCCCGGGAACACATCTACTATACGACGATACCCTCATGTCAAAAATGACTGCCAATAATACCCGGTACGAATTATGTACAACCAAGATTGACACACAGGATTGTACAGCAACTGGTGGTCACTCTACTGTATGGCCTGCTGTTATTATCCTGGTAATTGGCAGCGCGTTGAGAGGTGTGGGCTATACTGCTTACTGTGTGTTTGGATTGGCATTCATTGACGATAGTGTTAGCAAAAAAAGTTCACCACTTTATATGAGCCTATGGGCCATTTTGAGAATGATCGGGCCCGCCGGTGGTTTTCTATTAGGCTCGTTTTGTCTCAAATTCTACGAAAATCCACTTTGTAAGCTTTACCGTAAAATTTTACAATGTAATAATCATGTTTTTGTTTAAATAGTTGACCCACACGTTTCAAGCACAGATCCACGTTTTATTGGCGCATGGTGGATTGGATTTTTAGTAATAGCCGGACTGTTATTTCTGGCCACTCTACCAATGTTTTTGTTTCCAAGGCAACTTAAAGGGGCCTCGGTCAAAGAAAAAGATCGTGTCGAGTACGATAAGAGTTCCCAAGGTAATTTTACTAGTTATTTGTAAAATAAATGACTTATGACATAAATGTATAAATTTTACATTATGTAAAAATTACAACCTATGACTGTTTATGATGTAGGATACTTTCAATGTGTCAAACGGCTCATAACAAATCCACTATTTATGTTTAATCTGATTGGCAATTGTTTTCGTTTTAATGGCCACCAGGGCTATGGAGTGACCAAGCCCAAATACATCGAGTCCCAGTACAGGGTGTCGGGCAGCAAGGCCAATTTATTAACAGGCGTTACCGGAATGCTGCCCGTGGCTATTGGAGTAATTTTGGGCGGTATTGGGATACGATATTTAAAACCTAAACTAATTACTTTGATAATTTACATTTTTGCCCTGGAATGGGTATCTAATGGTAGCATGTTTGCGTCAATGTTTTTGGGCTGCCCACCAATACAGCTAGGGCCAAACACGGAAATGGCAAACACAAAGTACAATTAAATACTAATTTTGATTTGCAATATAAATAAATAACATTGTTAATAATTGTTTGGCAATTAATTTAGGTTTACAATGAATGCTGACTGTAATCAGGGCTGCGAATGCACTACCAGTGTATTCACGCCAATGTGTTCGGCCGATGAAGTGACCACATATTTCTCGCCGTGTTATGCCGGTTGTGTGCATTTAGATCAAAACACCGGGGTATATTTTAACTTTATTAACATACAGCAATACTATCTATATTAACATTTTATCCTTAACAATTTAATATATCTATATATTATTCTAAATGATTGATTAATATAAAAATTTTGTTTGTAATGTGGTTGTTTTTTGTACAATCAACAGATTGCAACTAATTGTTCGTGCATAGCTGATCATGGTGGATTAGCAACCACTGGTTATTGTCAAAGCGATACCGATAATTGTACGAACCTATACAATTATTTAATGGTTAAAACTCTGCCATTTATTTTAACATCAACTGGTATGGTTGGTAATATTTTAATTGGCTTAAGGTAAATCAAATTTTATAAACTATAATACAATACTTTACATATAAATAATATTGAAAATTAATATATTAGTAAAATTAATACAATGATTATTAATATTACAGAGTAATTGACCCACGAGACAAAAGTTTTGCTATTGGCTTTGCAAATTGTTTTTTCTCCATAACCAGTATGTATTAATTAATTAAGTGTTAATTAATTTAAATTACACATAATTATTGTCGCAGCGTATATACCGTATCCGCTTATATACGGCGCGATCGCCGACTCAGTCTGTCTGGTATGGGAGAGCACATGTGGTAAGACAGGTAACTGTTGGCTATACAATCAGAATCGTTTCCGCTATGTACTACACATTGTAACCTTGGTGTTTATGGTAACTGGTACCTTGTGCGACTTTGATTTAATTGCTAATGCTAGTCGAATGAAAAGTTTCTACAATCCGGAAATTAATAATGATAATAATAAAACCAGCTATAACGAGAATGATCATGACACATCTGTAGCTTTAAATATACTTAATTCTGATCAAACAAGTTCTAGTGATATATCAAATAATGAGTAAATTTTAATCAATTAAATTGCAAAATTTATATCTAAAAAATTTTATTGCAAAACTGCAAAATGTGGTAATTTTTACAATACATTCAATATATTATATGTATGAATTATTAAAAATAAAAAGTATATTAATTAATTATCATTGAGTTACACTTATTTATCTGATACAGTTTAATTATTATTAAATTTATTAATATCAATAATAATTATATTATATTTTATATGTTTTATTAAATATAATAACATAAAATTTTTAGTTTCAATTAAAATTATTTACATTATCTAAATCTAATATAAATCAGTAAATTTAGATTAGACTGTCCTTGATATAAAGTTTTACTATTACTATTGATTAAATTGCATGGTTTCAAATTAATTATAAAGTTACACCTAAAAATTACACTTTATATGTGACATTTAAAATACTGTATATCAATATAACTATCTATTTAACTTACTTAATATTTAAATAGTGTACAAAATAATAAATAATAAGTTTAAATTATTATAATAAAAACACATATTTATTTTACATTTCATATTGTAATTAAAGCCAAATCATGGTAAATAAACATAATAATCAGCATAATAAAAATGACGACCAAGATGACCATATAGTGACCACATGCGGACTGGGCTCGTGGAGGCCCGGGTGGCTACAGGTGTTCGCCACGCCCTTCTGGTTTGCCATAGTGTACGCCCTGATAGGTGTGGTGCAGACAATGTCCACAACGTATTTGATAGCAGTGTTAACATCAGTGGAAAAGAGGTTTGCGACGGGTGGCTACAGGTGTTCGCCACGCCCTTCTGGTTTGCCATAGTGTACGCCCTGATAGGTGTGGTGCAGACAATGTCCACAACGTATTTGATAGCAGTGTTAACATCAGTGGAAAAGAGGTTTGCGTTTGACTCCAAGATATCGGGAGTTATATTAATAGCCGATAATATCGTGGAATTGTTTGTAAGTAATTTTATACCTAGATTATATTTTTTGGAATAATGGTTTTACAAAAAATAAATAGTCGTGGTGTTTTGTTTATTTTAGTTAAGCCCACTTATTGGCTACCTGGGCAATCGCTACAGTAGACCGCGTATGATCGCTGTTAGTGAAATGATATTGGTGTTATCGTGCGCAATAAATGCAATGCCTTACTTTATATACGGCCCGGGAACACACCTACTATACGATGACACTCTACTGTCCAAAATGACAGCCAATAACACGCGTTATGAGTTGTGTTCGGCCAAAATTGATACAATTGATTGTACAGCCAAAGGTGGTCACTCTACTATATGGGGAGCTGTTCTTATGCTGATAATAGGTAGTGCGCTAAGAGGTATTGGATACACAGCATACTGGGTATTTGGTTTGGCATTCGTGGATGATAGTGTTAGCAAAACTAGCTCGCCACTTTATATGAGCATGCTTGGTATATTGAAAATGTTGGGCCCCGCCGGTGGTTTTATGCTGGGCTCGTTTTGCTTGAGGTTTTATGAAGATCCGTTTTGTGAGTATATAATAAAATTTTTAATGTTACCTTAATGTATTAATGTTGTTTTTTGTAGTTAACCCTAATGTAAAAAGTACGGATCCGCGATTTATTGGTGCATGGTGGTTAGGATTTTTAGTGATCGGGGTACTGTTGTTTCTGGTAAATTTGCCCATGTTCTTATTTCCAAAGCAACTCAAAGGCGCATCGGTCAAAGAGATCGATCGTGTTGAATATGCAAACAGTCATGGTAATATTTTCATTTTATACAGTATAATTATTATTTTTAAAAATATCTTGTGCAACTTTAATTTATAAATAATTAACCAATGAAAAATGTAAATTACATAGGGTTTATGGACTGCACTAAACGGCTGCTAACAAATCCACTGTTTATGTTCAATCTGATTGGCAATGCATTAAGGTATACGGGTTATGGAGGTTACGGTACCACCAAGCCTAAATACATGGAGTCCCAGTACAGGGTGTCGGGGAGCAAGGCCAATTTATTAACGGGTGTGGCTAATTTATTGCCAATGGCAGCTGGTACTTTAGCAGGCGGTATTGGAATAAGATACATTAAACCTAAAGCATTGTACTTGATTATTTACATGTTTTGCCTGGAATGGGTGTCAAACTTGACCATGTTAGCGTCAATGTTTTTGGGCTGCCCACCCCTACAACTCGGGCCCATTGGTGATACAAAAACAACCACGTATGTTTTATAATTATTGCAAAATAATTTGATCATAATTAATTAAATTATCTGTCCATAGATTTACAATGAGTGCCGCATGTAATCAGGGTTGCGATTGCACTACTAGTGTATTTACGCCAATGTGTTCAGCCGATACAGTGACCACGTTTTTCTCGCCATGTTATGCCGGCTGCACAAATTTTGATAAAGTTACCGGGGTATTAATTAAATAATTAATTAAATATATTTGTTATTAAATAAATGTTGTATTGTAGTATTGTTTATTCATGTTAATTTAAACTATAGATTGCAACTAATTGCAAGTGCATAAGTGACCATGGTGGACTGGCAACCAGTGGCTACTGCCAGAGCGATGCCGACAATTGTACAAATTTATATAATTTTTTAATGGTCAAAACCTTACCAGCAATTGTCACTTCAACAGTTAGAACTGGCAATATTTTACTAGCATTAAGGTAAATAAAATTACTAATTATTAAAGCAACACAAATTATAATTATTTTTAAATAGTTTATAAATTAATTGTTAAAACTTACAGAGTTATCGATCCGAAAGACAAAAGCTTTGCTATGGGTTTTGTAAATAGCTTTTTGGCATTGTTTGGTAATTAGTATATTTTAATTATAAACATTTAAAAGAAAATTATAATGGTAATCAGAATATTATCATGATAATTTTACTGTACTTCGTAGCATACATACCATATCCAATTATATTCGGGTCGATTGCCGATTCAGTTTGTTTGGTTTGGGAGAGTACGTGCGGTAAAAGCGGTAATTGCTGGCTATATGACCAGGATCGATTCAGATACGTACTACACGGGGCCACTCTTGCGTTAATAATAGTGGCGTCACTTTGCGATGTGGTTATTATCATCAAACATAAAATGGTAGAAAATTTTTATGGTGATAATAATATAAAATCTGAAGTTAATACAGGTATTGTTTTAGATACAGTAAATGTTAATGTTATTGCGAATGTAGATAATCATGATAATAATATATCAGCAACTTTAGACAATAGACAATTATGATTTATTCAAATTATGAAATGTTAAAATAGTTATATATTTACCTTATATTAAATTAAATAATTTTACAAAATAATTATTAATTTAATTAACATAATTACATCAAGTTAAATATATTAATATTTAATTAATAACTTATAAAACAATATTAGATAATAAATTATTGATGTTTTCCAAAATATACTAATAAATATTTAAAATGTTAATATTTATAACACTAATACGATTTGAACGTCTACAAATAATATAAGTAGAGGCTAATATGATTTTACAATAATTATATTTAATTGTAAAATAATTTTTCATTACTCTAAATATGTTTATTAATAGTATTTTAAATTTAAAGTAATTAAACAAAACTTTCAAATACTCCGTAAACGCAATGATAGAGAATCCAAACCATAGACTAATAACACTCGCCGTTAGACTAATGTATTCTTCGGCAGACATTTTCAGTGATATCTCGTATACAGTCGTCGGCTCTGAATCATAGTCTATGAACAATACATAACTACGTAAATACTGTTTATAAACACTCCTATGATATTTATCTACATAAAAATGTCTAGTGCACTCCACAATACGGCTGCATTTGAATAAACAGTTTTTATACCATCCATGACTACCTAGAAATTTAAAATACATGTTTGTTGAATTTCTATCACTCGACTTAATATTGTACAATAAATCGTATGACCATGATGATGCATCAAGTTGTTTAGCAAGCGACTGAACACATTGATAAGTGCACTTTTGTGAAGTTGTGCTGTCTGCACAAGAACGAGCATGGTCAACAATTTTGACAATTGAATGTTTGTACTTAACATTAGTTTGAATGCCATTTATTACGTCAAATATAATACCGCTTTTTTCTTGATTAATGAAAATTAGATCTTTAGGTGAGTGAATATACATGTTAAACTTACTACCATTTAAGTAGCTAGGCATCCAAATTAATATAAACTTTATATAACTTATTTTACCATTGTTTCTAGAACTCGACGATATGGTAAAACAATAACTCCTCTCATTTATACCATAATTACTAAAATTGCATTTGTTTTTTATTTCAGTTGAATATACATAATCACATGGTACTTTCGGAACTACCATTGATTTAATTTGTTTGCCGATTGAATCTAAATTAAATTTATAACGATTAATTATTGTTGAATTATTGTCACTATCAAAATAGTAGTTTCGATATTGATGTTTAATAAATTTAATTTTTGGCAGACATATAGTGATCGCTGTGTCCATCAATTGTACACTATTCGGGAAATGCATCAAAAGATTTTAAATTTTTCAATACGATTGTTGGAATA